TAGGCAGCTAACAACATTAAAAATCATACAATAGATATACACATAAAAACAATTTTTCATGACAGAAAATGAAGATGTAAGTAGTTTCTTGGTTGTTCCTGAAGTAAAAGTTGACCATTTGAACCATGAACCAGTGTCAGCAGGGATTGTTGAAAGGGAAACCACAGAGAAGTCAGAAGGAAAACCTTTCCAGAGAGAAATCAGGGTTGGTTGTATGTGTTTTTAAATAACTCTTTTTTTTTTGGAGAGTGGAATGAACTTGAAAAGTGCCTGGCATACAAACATCCGAACCTAGCCATCAAAATGTGATAAAATGTCAGTGTTAATGTCTTGCTGTAAACAAAACAAAACAAAATCGATACCGTACAGATTTGGAAGGACCTCTGAAGGGAGAGAAGGACCTTCGTCGCTGTTGTCTTCTCCTTTTTTGCTTGCTGTCCGCAGCTGCTTCTCTTCACACTCAAGAGGACCCTTTCCTTCCATTGTTTTTTTCAGAGCTCACCCCCTCCTTTAGCGCCTGCCACACTAGAGCATAATCCTTTAAGGGTAGAGTTGCCGGATACATGTGTACGAAAAGGAGGACATAGAAAGCCAAAAGGGAGGACAAATGAGGACGTATTCGGGGGGGGGGCTCTGTGCACAGGGTATGTCGCTTTAGGAATTAGGTATTGGGGAGAATAGCTCTTTGATCATGGGGCAATATATTCAACCTACTCAGTCTTGAAAGGTCAAGACTGGGAAAGTTACATTTTTTGGACTACAAAGCTACATAGACACTTACTGGGCTACCAGGACCAATGGAGACAATCTATTCCTTCCTTTAATGGAGACCCATCCCCTTGTTTTATTTATTGATTTTTTTATTTTAATAAAAGCATGATAAAGTGAAATAAAAAGTTTAAAAAGTTGAAACACTTTATAAAAAACAGGGAAAAAATCCAGGTGTGGATTTCTCTCAGCTTGAGAAATGCAAAAGGTGCAGAAAATGAATTTACAGACACAGACACAGACACACACAGACACACACAGACACACACACAGAGCCATTTTCTCCACCCTTTGCAATTTCTCAAGCTGAGAGAAATCCGCTTGTGTGTATGTGTGTGTTTCAGCTCCCACAAGCATGGGGGATAACTCTGCATATGCTCCTGGACCTGGAAATGCACTCTGCACATGCCCCAGAGTTGGGGGGATCAGGGCAGAAGGGGGGATAAAAGTGCCTCCACTTCCCCAGCTTTAGGAGGAAGGAGGGACGGACAACCCCCTATTTCCCTGGCTCTGAAATGCCACCCCCAAACCTCAGACCAGTCTCCCCTCCAGCAGACAAGCAAGTGCACTCACTTCACTCCACACCTCTCCTGTTCGTTTCCATCCATCCATCCATCCATCCATCCATCCATCCATCTCTCTCGCACCTTCCTTCCTTTTTCAGCTCTGGGCAGAAGCAGCCATCCACAAGCTGGGGATTGATTGCCTGAGGCTGTTCTACAGCCCTAAACAATCAAGCCACCTTATCTCCAATCTCTGAAAGAACAGGAGGATTTACAAGTACCACAACCAAGGAAGTAACAGGGAGAAGTTCGGCTGCAGGGGGTGGGGGAGGGGGTGGAGATACAAAAGCTGGACATTTTTAAGTTCTTTGGTTTTGCCTGCTGGACAGAGGACATGATCCTTAAAGGGCTGCGCCCCCTCCCGCAGCATGTCTGGGCAGGGAGTGCCAGGCGGGGGGAAGAAGCGTTGTGTCTCCACAGACAGCAGCAGCAGCCTTGCCAGGTGACCCGTGAAGAGGGGGGGGGAGGGGGGGGAGAGAGACCTAAAAGCAGAAGCCCCGGTGGAGCCAAACCCCTGAGGGAGAAGATTGCCGGGCAGGGAGAGGGCTCCCCCTCTGTGAGATACGTGGGCACTTTGGGGGGGCAGGCGGGACCCAGCCCCTACGAGGCGGGGAGGAAGCCCCGCATTTACCAAGTAGGTGCCGCCGTCGCTGCCCCCACTCCTTAAACTTTCATATTAAGGCGGGGGCCACAACTATCTTCCTGTGGGCCACAATTGCTCCCCCCCCGGGCCGCATGTTTGAGACCTCTGCTTTACTCCATTTCCATGCCTTGACTGTGACAAAACAAGTTCTGGAAAAAGGAAACAAGGCTGTGTTTCATTTCGTGGTGACCGTGAGAGCACCAGTTCCCTCAGCACCTAAACATCTCCCTTAGACCACCAGAGCTTTGGCAGGCAGAAAGTGACTGTGGCCCTCCCATTATAAATTTCCAGATTGCAACACTAGACGTGTGTTTTATATAACCCCACTATGGCTCTCCTTAGTGTCTTGTCCCAAGGACAAAAGGCAGGGGAGAACGGAGGTGAGAGATATTCTTGTTGTTGTTCTGTGGTAACTGGGCAGGATCTGTTTCTACGGCCAAGACAGGTTGACATGTCCCTCCCCTGCAAAAGGAGTGAAACCACCAAGATCTACCCGTGTCACTCGTGCGAGCCAGGAGGTGAGGCTGAGGAGCCTAATGCCGAGGGAGGCCCGGAAGGTAAAGACAAGAAATCGGGCCTTCTCGGCGATGGCTCCTCGCCTTTGGAACAACCTACCGACTGAGATTCACGTGGCACCCTCGCTGGGTATCTTTAAAAATCAACTAAAAACATGGATGTTTCGGCAGGCCTTCCCGCCAGACAATTCCTGATGCCCTCTCCTCTCCCTCTCCTACTGTTTCCTCCCTCCTAAAGTTTCTTCTATTTCAATTTTTTTATACTATTTTATGCTGTTAGCCGCCTAGAGTGGTCTTAACCAACCAGATAGGTGGGATATAAAATAAATAAATAAATAAATAAACAAACAAAAAGATCCAAATAATGGAGAGCAGCCAGCTTTGGGAAAGGCAAAACTTTCTGGCCCCCAGGCAGAATACTTATTTTAATATTAATGCTAAACTCGATCAAAAGAGTTCCCTTTATTTTGATCAAAGGGAGACCACAGCTGCGATACAAGGAGATCTGCAAGCGGGATCTGAAGGCCTTAGGAATGGACCTCAACAGATGGGAAACCTTGACCTCTGAGCGTTCAGCCTGGAGGCAGGCTTGCATCACGGCCTCTCCCAATTTTGAAGCTACCAACATGAATTTGACCCAACTCTGGGAGGGAGTGGAAGACAGGAGGGCCTAGCATGCTCTGGTTCATGGGGTCATGAAGAGTCGGACATGACTTAACAACAGCAAAATATCAAAACTTATTTTGCCACCCGGCGATGTTCCATGATAGAATGGAAAGTGTGCCCTGGGAGTTGAAGCTGTTCTGTCTGTCAGGGCAGTTCTGTCATTAAAGGGTTGGAGCATCGGCAGGGGGTGTCACAGAATTGCCTTGCCAAAGGAGAAAAGCTCCCATCAGTACCTGCAAAATTAAACAGAACAGGGCGGGCTCCTCCACAGGTGCGTGCGGACGCCCAAAAACACACGCGCACACATGCATGGAGGTCCAGCAACCCTCTGAGGGCCCCCTTTAAAAAAAGGCGCACTCAGCAGCAGCTACCCCCACCACGACAGAGGATCAAACTTTGTGAGGTGAGCCCAGGCAGCCTCAAGAGCCGAGGCAGCTGAAGCAGGACGAAGAGGAGGAAACACTGTGGGGCGCTGAGGAGGATGCTGGCCAGGCTGGTGTAGGGGGTGCAGAGAGAAAAAGAGAGCCAGAGAGCCGCTTCTCTGGAAGAGGTGGTGGCAGTGGCAGTTGCTGTTGGTGGCTTGGAGGCACTCTTCGAGGACGGGCCGGGAGTGAGCTCCACTCTCAGGCATCGCTCAGCGGCGGCTCAGGCACTTGGGGGAAAGGGCTGGCAGTGCGCCTCGCTCGCCGGCTCTCCCCCAAGACAGCGCCTCTTGCACCCTCCATCCGGAATTGCAGCCTGCCAGCCGGCAGACAGGCGAGCTGTCTGACAGGCTGCAGTTCTGGATGGAGGGTGCAAGAGGCACTGTCTTGGGAGACAGCCAGCGAGTGAGGGGAGGCTTTTTTGACTCTTGACAGCAGAAGATGCGTGAGCGCTTCAGGGGGGGACAGGCAAGGCGGGGCCACAAACTACCCGCAAATTATCATCTGGCGGGCCGCAAATGGCCCCTGGGCCGCATACTTGAGACCCCTGATTTAATGCTTGCATAATTGACTGCAGTTAATCACGTCTAACTAATAAGGTGCCAGGGCATAAATTGTTTGGGTAAGTGGCTGCATGTCCCTGCGGAAGGCAGGGGAGCTTTGTGAAGGACACACTAAATGGGAACACCTTTGCTCCCATCAGCTTAGGGCAGCGATGGTGGGTAAATCGATGGCACATATGGCACAGCTGGCTCTCTGTGGGCACACAATCCATAAGTCGCTATCGAGAAATACTTACCCACCCTCCAATCCCAGATTTCCACACTTCCCTCTGCTGGTCCAGTGGTCCAGCGGAAGGGTGCAATGGCGGCCATTACTGGTTTAGCCCAACAGGGGATTGAAGGACCGGTAAGTATTTCTCTGTTAATACTGCCCCTAGGGGGGAAAAACCCAAGCACTTAACCCTTATAGTGCAGGAGCAGTACCCCCCCTAAACTAAAACCTCAGGATTCAGGTTTAACTGCAGTGTTGGCACTTTGAAATATATAAGCTGATTTTGTGTTGCAGTTTGGGCACTCGGGCTCAAAAAGGTTCGCGATCGCTGGCCTAAGGCAACCCATAAACTGCGACTGGATCCCCTTTATCCCTCCGTTAAGGAGAGAAGAGTAAAACATAGAATGTGTTACCTGTGAATAAGTTACCGGTTGAGTTCAAAGTTAACGTTATTGGTTTGAGGCAAGAAAGTGGCTGTGATTTGTTTGGGACAGAGGACCTGAAAGGGTCCCCCAAAGTTGAACCCTCACAGGTTGCCATAACTCACACAAACGTCGTCAGGAGCGGTCTTGTAAAAATGCTCAAAATTATCCACGCTCATCCAGTCAACATCCTTATTTTCATAATTCAGGCTGATTCTCGGAAGACGCCTCATTCCAATCTGAACATTTATTTTGATTATAAAGGCAATTTTCGTAAAACGATAAAGTTCGGATCGTGTTAAAACCATTCCAGTAAAACATACGATTAAAACAATTTTTTAAAAAATCCCACCCCCAGAACACAAGGCGGGGATTTGCACACAACACATCCTCCTTCACCATATTAAAAAGTTCATTTACAGCATATCACACAAGACTTATTGTTGCAAAATGGATAATGGGGATGGCGTTGGAGAAAGACATTTTGTGCACTTTTCAAAGTTTCCCCTCTCTGTGCATCTGCCGGTGTCTGATGCGCTGGGCTCTGCAACGGAAGTTTTCTCCACAATCTCGGCATGGATAGGAATTTTCACTGGAATGAATTTGTTTGTGCTGTCCAAGGTCCTTGCTCTGGCAGAAGCTCTCCCCACACTCTTCACATTTATATGGTTTCTTCTCCCCAACGTGAACTTTTTGATGATCTGTAGAGGCTGACGTAGCTGTGAAGCTTTTCCCACAGTCTTCACCGCGATAGGGCTTCGCTGCTGAATGTGAGCGCTGATGTATTGTAAAATCAGCAAGATATCTGAACTGTTTTCCACATTCTTTGCAGGTATAGGGTTTTGCTCTTGAGTGAATTCGTTGATGTACTATAAGATTTCCTTTCTGGCTGAACTTTTTCCCACATTCTTTGCACTGATAGGGTTTCTCCCCTGAATGAGAGCGCTGATGTACTGTAAAATGCCTGGGATACCTAAACATTTTCCCACAAATTTTACATGTGTAGAGTTGTTCCCCTGTGTGAATTCGTTCATGTACCTTGAGGTTTTCTTTCTGGCTGAACATATCCCCACATTTTTGGCACTGATAGGGTTTCTCCCTTAAATGAGAGCGCTGATGTACTTTTAAATTTGAGGCATCGCTGAAACATTTTCCACATTCTTTGCATGTATAGGGTTTTTCTCCCGAGTGAATTCGTTGATGTACTATAAGATTTCCTTTCTGGCTGAACTTCTTCCCACATTCATCACACTTATAGGGTTTTTCTCCAGTGTGAGTTCGCTGATGTACTGTAAGGTTTGCTTTCAAGCTGAACTTTTTCCCACATTCATCACACTGGTAGGGTTTCTCCCCTGAATGAGAGCGCTGATGTACTGTAAAATGCCTGGGATACCTAAACATTTTCCCACAAATTTTACATGTGTAGAGTTGTTCCCCTGTGTGAATTTGTTCATGTACCTTGAGGTTTTCTTTCTGGCTGAACATATCCCCACATTTTTGGCACTGATAGGGTTTCTCCCTTAAATGAGAGCGCTGATGTACTTTTAAATTTGAGGCATCGCTGAAACCTTTTCCCCATTCTTTGCATGTATAGGGTTTTTCTCCTGAGTGAATTCGTTGATGTACTATAAGATTTCCTTTCTGGCTGAACTTTTTCCCACATTCTTTGCACTGATAGGGTTTCTCCCCTGAATGAGAGCGCTGATGTACTGTAAAATGCCTGGGATACCTAAACATTTTCCCACAAATTTTACATGTGTAGAGTTGTTCCCCTGTGTGAATTCGTTCATGTACCTTGAGGTTTTCTTTCTGGCTGAACATATCCCCACATTTTTGGCACTGATAGGGTTTCTCCCTTAAATGAGAGCGCTGATGTACTTTTAAATTTGAGGCATCGCTGAAAC